GAGCTGGAGGAAGTGTCTGGAGAGAGGGAAGTCTGGGCATCTTTGCTTAGACTGCTGCCCCCGCGACCCGGTCCCGGATAAGCAGAGGAAAATGGATGGATGGATGGATGGATTTGTGGTTTCATCAGTGTAACCAGCTGATACACATTTGATAAGCTGCTTTATCAAAGAATAGAATATTTTAACACAGCCCTTCTTTTATTCTTCAAACTCAGGGAGACTCATCTTTTGTGGTGATGACAAACTACATCTTAACTGAAGGTCAACAGATGGGAAGGTGTCCAGAGGTCAGTGAAAACTAACTAGTTTCTCCTTGCTGACTTTCTCTTCTTCTGTTTTCTCCTTCTCCCTCGGATCCATACACTTCCATATATAGTAAAATATAACAAACCTTGTGTCACATTCCAAGACTGTTTGTGTAACTGGGTGTCTGTGTAGCTGCAAATAGCAGAAAAAGTCTTAAAACTGAATTGCTTCAGATGACATAAACAGTGATTTCTGTATGGTGCAGAGTATCTAAATAAATGCAAAACTTCATTTTCATATTGTCATATTGTTTTACTGGTTTCTTCACATCCACTTTTCACAGTTTTGTACACACACTGACCCAGATCTTTTGTTCATAACAGCTGGAAGGCAAGCAATGCAGCTCAGACACTGACTGTGAAGAAGGGCGTTTCAAACGTACGGGACATGGTAAATCCTAATGGCCTGACAGGGTGCGACTGAGGAATTGTCTGCACCTCTGTGGCTAAACATCAGTCCAGAGCTTAGTTTTTTTTTATTACCTTGTTTCATTTCACTTTAAGCAATCTCAAACTTTCTAAAGCCAATGGCAAGACTATGATGAACTGAGGGAGGCAGAGGATCATGTCAGGTTATGGTGCAGTGTATTTGCAAAAGGGGCTGCAGCTCTTGAGAGCTGCTGTTGGTGTAACTAAAATACACCAGAACTGACTCATCACTGTCACTGTTAAGGTAAACATGTTGATCTAACTTGTGCACTGCTCTTGTGCAACACTGGGATTCGAAAAACCGATTAACATCAATAACTTAAGTCTCAGGAGTCTTGTGTTCATACTATGGCTTTTTGATAACTGAAGCATGCAAGCAAAACCCTGCCTTAAGCAAGTAGACACATGCATGTATATACAAGCACAATCATAGATATTACAACAACTCCTGACACTAATCATCAGCACACAGACATTAAAATCAAACAGCCATTCAGACCAGAGCTTTTTTAATAGGTCCAAGCATATACAGTATTGACAGCATGTTCAAAGAGCAGTTACATAAACATATTGCCCTCCATCTGTTCTAAGGTTACATGTTGAGCCCCTGTGTTCCATATCAACTTCACTAAGACCAATGTTAGCCAAAGCTCTAGGTGCCAGTGTCACTTTAAAGGCAGTGTACTGTCTTTGTGCTTGTAGATAAGTAAACATGGGGGGTGCCCCATATCCAAACAGACTGCTAAGCTTCAGTGGAAGGTCTGAAGCAGAGTAACCAAATGCCTGCTGGAGCACAGTCTGTGAACATATCCAGCACATGATGAGAGAGACTGATACCAACAAAGCTAATCACATTGAGAGAAATTGTATGTTAGGATCAGGGCAAGATAAAGGAAACAGCTATTTCAGCCTTTGCTTTGCTTCACTTTTATATCTTGCCTACTGCTGTTGATGCTAATTTGAGATAAGATAAAAAGTGGAGCTAGAAAATGATCCTTTACTGTATTCTATCCTCTTCTTTACTGCATGAAATATGTTGTAGTTTTGCCTATTGCTTGCTCCAGTTTTAAGTTTAGTCTGCAATAATGAACTCTAGTATGTTTCTGTTTCAAGGACAAATGACGGGAATATGTGTGAATAGCACTAAAACCTGTGAGGTGTTGGCTTGGTGCCCTGTTGAGGATGATCACAGCATACCACAGTATGTAGAAACCCTCAGTTATTCATATTACCAGCTGATACTGAACTGTAATACATGTGGATATCAAATTGGTTGCCATTCTGTCACTTTAACAGGACTGCATTATTGTCCGTACATAACAAACATGACATTTGTGGTGATTTATGCTGAATACTTGTACGAAGCTCCTTGACATACACATGCCACTCTTTTCTTTTCCAGCCCTCCTCTGCTGATGTCTGCAGAGAACTACACTCTGTTCATCAAAAATTCTGTAACTTTTCCCATATTTGGTGTCACAAGGTGATGGTATATTGTATTTTTCTTGGCAGTAGGTGACCTAATCTAAACAAATTATACAAATAAGATTTTGGCAAATGTTGCTATCGTTCTATGAAATGTAGCTAAATAATGACACATAAAACTCTTCCACACATTGTTAAAATAGTACACCAATAATTTTACACATGACAGCTGGTTTACTTGGCATGAGAAGTACAACCCCAATCAGAAAAAGTCAGAAAAGAAAATCAAAAATAAAATGGAAAATATTCAGTTTTAATATAAATTTTACATATCATCCCAACTTTTTCTGATTACGCCACTATTTCCACTTCACCATATCACTCTGATTCAAACCGTCTGTGTACGCATGGTCTAAAATATGTGTCTGGTGCGTACATTCAGTTTATGTATAACTGTAAGTGTAAGCACGGTTTTTGTGTTTAGGCTTTGTTTATGCATCTGGTCCCTGGTCTTTAAATGAGATAGAATGAAGAAATGGATAAATGTAAATGAGATTAAAAAAAAACAAACACTTTAGCCTCTTATAATCTTTCATCTCAGCCATGCTATAGATTAGGGTAAAGGATAAAGCTAAATAGTATTGCTTTAAGTGTGCAAAAAAGTGAATCAAATGGTATTAAGGCCACTAGCTGAGCTTTATAATGTTCCCCTGTATTTTCAGGACTAACCTGGTGGAAGGAGTTGATGCTGCATACATCAGCAAATGCCTCTATCATCCACAGGATGCTCCACTGTGCCCCATATTCAAACTGGGAGACATAGTTAAACTGTCTGGCTTCAATTTTGAAACAATAGCCCAAATGGTAAGTTTGCTGCATGGAGCCTTACTGAACACTGCACAGCAGATTTCCAGGTGAATAAACAGATTTAATTTAGCTGCAGCTGCAAATGTATTGTCTTTTGATGTTTTTGTTTCTTCTTTTTCTCATGTGGTAATAGAGACTTGAATGATGTATTATGTGCTTGTGTCTCGACAGGGAGGGGCCATCGGCATTGTGGTTGACTGGACATGTAACTTTGATGCAGATGTAAAACACTGTAAACCTCAGTATAACTTTCATGGTCTGTATGGAAACCCCGCGGAAACGGACCAAGCCAGAGCGTCAGTGGGCTACAACTTCAGGTGCGTCGTTAAACTTCACCGAGTTAACATGGACTCAGGTGTTACACTGCAGAAATGCAGGCCCGGGTTGAAGCTCCTGGTCCTAGCTATGGTGTTTAAGCAGTAGTTCAGCATTTTCAGAAAATTTTGAGACGACTGATGCCACTTCAGCATTTGTTTGTTAAATCTGGAAACACCAACTGGTTAGCATAACTTAGCAGAAAGGCAGGAGACAGAGAAAAAAAGCTTACCTGGCTTTGTTTCACAGGATGCTGTAGGCTACCAACCCACAAAGTGTTGCTCTTCACCTTGCTCTTTGTATGGATTAAACGAGACATTACAGTATATAATCATTGAGCTCTAGAGGCACTGGTTGTCTTCCAATGGTATCTTTGGAAAGTGCCAGGCTATTTGTTTCCAGTTTTTATTTTAAACTAACTAGCCGTCCCTGGTAGGCTAGTGGTTAAGGTGCAGCGCTCTTGCCACTGCACCCTGGGTTCGAGTCAGGGAGGGTGTCCAGTGTAAAACACGTGCCAAATGTCAACATGCGAGTCGTCAGTGTGATGATTATATTTTAAGCTAACTGTCTGCTGGACGTACAATAGCTTCATGTTTCTCTTTTGTACTTGTCTAACTCTCAGCAAGACAGCACATTACCCAAAATGAAGAATGACTTTTGAAAGAGAGGTTTGATAGTCTGGTGCCATTTTATTTAGTCTTTTCCTGTATCTGGCAAGAAATAAACTGCTCTGATGGACATGGTTCTCAGTGTGCTCACCCTGCAGTCACAGCCTGACAAAATTTAAATTTTAATGTTGTACTATTTTTTGTTCACTTCGTGGTGCAGTGGTTAGCACTGTTGCCTCACAGCAAGAAGGTTCTGGGTTCAGGTCCCACCGGGGACCTTTCTGTGTGGAGTTTGCATGTTCTCCCCGTGCTTGCGTGGGTTCTCTCCGGGTACTCCGGCTTCCTCCCACAGTCCAAAGACATGCAGCTCTCTAAATTGCCCATAGGAGTGTGTGTGGTTGTTCGTCTCTGTGTTAGCCCTGCGATGGATTGGCGACCTGTCCAGGGTGTACCCCGATTGGCTCCCGTGACCCCGTTCAGGGACTAAGCGGTAGAAAAATGAATGAATGTTCACTTCATTTTCCACAAACTAACAGGTTTGTTGAGTTTGAACTGAGTGTAGACTGTGTGATGTTTTTTTCCCTCTGTAAAACACCTCAGCGTAACGCTCTGGGATAACACTTGTTATTGTTTGATGGATTCTGAGGATAGTCTGCTCACAGATTCCTAAATATCATCTCAGATGGATGATAGGGAATATGTAAAAATGTAAATATGTAACAGAATCTGACATTCTGATTCCTGTTTGTAGGTATGCAAAGTATTATTTGGAGAACAATGTTCAGAAACGAACCCTTATGAAAGTGTTTGGGATCAGAATCGAAATAATTGTGCAGTCACTGGTAAGTACTGCATTTAAATTTTCTATTTATTATATATTAATTGAGACATGAAGAAATTTTGAATCACTGATAATCTGTTCTTCACAGGCAAGAAAGTTTGATATCATCCCAACATTCACAGCTATAGGTTCTGGAGTGGGAATTTTTGGAGTGGTATGTTGTAGCCTGACTAATACGTATCTGCAATCATTATTTCTTACCTGTGGAATGCTTTGTATACAAACTAATATAATTCTTTTTTTTTTTTAATTCAGGCAACTGTAGTGTGTGACCTGGTGCTGCTTTATTTGCTGCCAAAAAGAGAATATTACAAGAACATGAAATTCAAATACACAGATACATCAGTACAGGTAAGTCTTTTATGTAAACTAATAAGTTAACATAGATGGCAACAGAGATTCATTTAACAATATCAGTCCAGTATTTAGTTGTATTTTTTTTATCATTTCAGTTGTTTTGAAAGAATGCTGCATACTAGAACTAAATCCTCAACACAAGCCTTTGCTTGTTACAGTAAAGCCATTTATCTCCTTCTATTCCACCCAGACAGCTTCCCTCACTTAATTGAAATAGGCAGAACATTTTGTATTTACAGCATGACAGCGAGTTGCTTGGTTTAGACGGAAGTGTCTATTACACCTTTGAAGCAAATGCAAGACAAGTCCAAGGCACTGATCAGTCCAACGTGAGTGCATGTACAGCGGTCTAGACATTAGAATAGTTTTTTAATGTATTCGATCATGTGATGATGAGCCGAGTCCTTTTTCATATTATGTGAGAGGTAATTGGTTTCTCTCCTGTGGTTTTTACTTTTATTCTACAGGATCCTGATTCAGAAGCAGGTAGCATAGAGACTGAGTTATCTAACGTAAGAGATTTGTGTATGTCTGTCTATCAATCTGTAAAGAATTAAACTTATTAGCTGTGACTTTGGAGATGGCTAATGTCTCATTCTCTGCTATCCCTGTGTAGAAGTGACCTGAGAGCAAACTTTCAAGCAATTGGCCATGCTAGTTTGAAGGTGTACTGCACTGGAACCCGCAAAAGACCCTGCAAGACAACACACACACACACTTGTAATTCTATTTTTGTGAGGACATTCATTGACATAATGCATTCCCTATCCCCCTACCCTAGCACTTAACCATCAAAAGTAAATGCCTAACCCTAACCTTTCACCTAACAGCTAACCTTTCCCCTAACACCTAACCTGAACCCTAAAACCAAGTCTTAACCTTCAGAGAGGTGTTTCACAAAGTGATGACTGGCCAAAACATCCTCACATTCCAAAAATGTCCTCACTCTGTAGCAAAAAAACTTTTTTGGTCCTCACTATGTAGCAAGTACAAGAACGAACACACACACACACACACACACAGGAACTGAAAAAGACAGAGTCAAATGACATTGTTCTATTTGTTCTCCATTTCTTCTTTCTAGCCACAACATCCTCCCACTCTTTTGAGCCATCCTGAGTGACTGTGATTCCACAATTACTATACTAAATCACAGATGGTGTAGCTCAGCGATATGTGTACTTTTGTGTGTTTGGTTTGCTTTTGTGCATAGGCTACTTTGGGTGTAACCTCCACCTCTAAAATGTCTTCATATCTGTATTGACTCCGTATCCATACGGATGACTGTGCAAATTCTCAGTCATCCAGGTAATTGTAGTATGCTGAAAAAATTTTGAAGAAGGCATCTGGACATACAGTAGTTTTAGGTAGAAGATGTGTCACCTCTCATCCACCACATGGGTTAAAATCAGGACCCAGGAGGTAGAGGCTTTCACCAAGCATATCAACACTGTGGATATCAACATCAAGTTCACTCGTGAGGATGCCAGAGATGACTGTCTGGCCTTTTGGGACTGTGCATCCCACATAGGAGGAGACAGAAGTCTTAAGGTGGAAGTATATTGGAAACCTACACACCACAAACCAATACTTTCTTTTTGACTCACAAGAGCCACTACAACACAAACTTGGAGTTATCAGAACCCTAAATCACAGGGCCTAGGAAGTGCCCACAACTGTAGAAGGGATTAAGAAGGAGGAACTACACATACAGAATTCCCTTAAGGTTTGTGGATACCCCAAGTGGGCCTCCAACAAAGCAAGGATGAGGCACAACCCCAACAGGGAGAAACCAGAAACAAGGAGATACCACTGTCATCCCTTATATGGCTGGTTTATCCAAGAAGCTGAAAAGGATTTTCTGCAACCACAACATCCCAGTCAACTTTAAGTCAGAGAACACCCTGTGGCAAAGACTGGACATAGTTTTAGGTAGAAGATGTTTCACCTCTCATCCACCACATGGGTCCATCCGAAGGACAAAACACCCAGGCACAAACAGAGTGATGTAATGTATGCAATTAAATGTAGTCAGGAGTGTAATGGTCAAGGTCAAAGTGTTTATTTGTCATATGCACAGTTAGGAAACACACTTTAAGCAGCAAATGCAGCAATATAATAAAAATATATAAGAATATAATAAGAGAAGGTTTGCTGCATGTGCAGCAGCCAACAGTCAATGTGCAATTATGGATGTGCAAACTGAGAATGTAAACAGTACAGGTTGACAGTACATCACGTATTTCCTGGTAATAAACTCCTGTCAGCTGTTTAGGAGTTTGATGACAGAGGGAAAGAAAGAGTTTTTCAGTCTAGAGGTCCTGCATTTCACACTTCTGAACCTCCAGCCAGAGAGTAGGGAGGCAAACAGTCCGTGCTGGGGGTGGGTGGGATCTCTGAGGATGGAGGCAGCTTTCCTATGCACCCTGCGGTGGTAAATGCTCTGCAGAGAGGGCAGTGGAGTCCTGGTGATCTTCTCCACAGTCTTTACCACTCTCTGCAGGCGCTTGTGGTCCAGACCTCTGTCCTTTGGAGGTAACTGACTGGGGTCATCTGCAAAGGGAACAGCTGGAGGAGATAAACAGGACAACACAAAATGGTTAACATCTGTTTCATCCATGACATTAAAAAAGCATTAACTATGATTTTGCACTGTGTCTGATACTGTAAATGCAGTGAAAATGGGAAAGAATGTGGCACCTCTCATCTTTATTTCCTTCCTCATGTCCACTATCATCTCCTTCGTCTTGTCCATGTTGAGGCTGAGATTATTGTCCTTGCACCATGACACCAGACCAGCCACCTCCCTCCTGTAGGCTGCTTCGTCCCCGCCAGTGACCTATCACTGCAGTGTCATCCATGAACTTTAGGATGATGTTGTCTTTGTGGGAGGTGACACAGTCGTGGGTGAACAGGGTGTAGAGGATGGGACTGAGGACACATCCCTGTGGGGTGCCAATGTTCGTGATAATGCTGGCTGAAGTCCTATTGCCAGTCCTGACAGTCTGGGGCCTGCCAGTCAGAAAGTCCAGGAGTCAGTGACAGAGGGTGGGGTGCAGACCTAGTGTGGACAGTTTGTGGTAATGATTTGTATATTGGAGAAACAAAACAGACGCTGCACAAGCGCATGGCCCAAAACAGGAGGGCCACCCCCAGTGGACTAGAGTCAGCAGTCCACCTCCACCTGATGGACAAAGGGCATTCTTTTGAGGACAGTGAAGTCTGGATCCTCTCCAGAGAACACCGCTGGTTTGAGAGAGGAGTCAAAGAAGCTATTTATGTCCAAATAGAACACCCCTTTCCAAATAGGGGCGGTGGACTCAGACACAACTTACTACTTCTCATCTATCTACAACTCTGTTTTGAGATCTCTGCCCAAACATTTCCACCCCAACTCACACTAGGACATGGTCCACTTGTGAGGGTTCAAAGACAGGTAACAACTCTCATCAATACCAGACCCTAACGATTCAGTCATTAGAGGACATTCTTATCCCAGTGGGATAAATACCTCCTACTTACCACCAGTCCAACAGAACTAATGAAGCCTCTTGGATGAGAGGTGAAATGTCTTCTACTTAAAACTATGTCCAGATGCCTTCTTCTACGTTTTTTCAGCACAATTTATTTTCAAATCAGGCTCATTATCTGTAGTTTCAATACATTTGATGGGGATTACCAATTATTTTTATTTAGCACTTACTTCAAAATGTGCACGCCTCTGCACTGGGTGACATGTTCCTTGTTTACAGCCTACTAGCCTCTCATGCGTTCACAGAGAACTCACACATACACAGTTAAGTCTTGCTTTACTTCAGACCATAGCTGTATGCCTCAGACACAGTAAAAAGTTATGGTCATTTGAAGCTTTTGGGGAAACATATACACTGATCTAATGTTTCATAATAAAGAAACATGTCACCCAGTGCTGATGTGTTTTTAATCCTTTTTGAACAACAAGAGGTTGCTCTCATTAGTTAATTTTAATTACTTTTGGTTTATAAGTTAAAATGGTTTAATAATCTTGGAAGTATATTAATTAATTAACTACTGGTAGGGCTACTTTTTAATTTTATACGTTAGGTACATTTTTCACTTTTACTCATGTAAAGAGTTTGAATCAGCCCATCTACATTATCAGAGGTTTCTTTTTTTTTTACCCCCCCCCCAAATTTCTTTAATTTAATGGGTTTAATTTAATGTATCTTTAATATGTACTGAATATCAGAGTTGGATACAACCACATTACACATTTTCACACACACAAACTAAATTGAATAATCTCTTTGTCTCTTTTGTTAATATCTGTTGTCTCATCTTCTATGTTATGTCCTTCGTCCTGTAAATGTGTTAGTATTCGTGTTGCAATAAAAAAAAGGGAACGGTTTAAAAAGAACAAGATGAAAATTTTACCATGGCCTGCCCTGTCTCCACATTTAAATATCACCGAAAACATATGGATTGATTTGAAGAGGGCTGTACATTGCAGACAACCCAGCAAGCTGGTTGACTTCTAATATATATGCCATGAAGACTGGGCTAATGTTACACCTGAAAGGATACAAATACTGCTCAGAGGGTACCGAAAGAGGTTGGAGGAGGTTAGGGAAGACATACAAAGTATTAGGGAACATTTCGTAAAGGGAGATGGAAACCTTATCACTGATATGATTTTCATTATTTTACTATAACTTTCTTTTTATACTCTCCCTGACCATTTCTGTTACTTATGTTGATGAACGAACAGTTGATCTAGCTGAAAAATCCTTGCTTTACTCTTTCTGCCATTTCAGAGTAAGGGGATGCAAGCCTTTGCACCCCACTGTACTTTTGCCATCTTTGATCATGTTACTTCTGCCACTGTCTTCATTACAGCATGTTATACCACACATGATGAATGCCCCACTATCAAAACAATTATTTTTATGTGCACCTTGTGATTAGCATTTGAATTCAATAAAAGAAGTACAGTAATATTTCCTGTTTTCCTTTTTTCACAGAGGAAACAATCAGGAATACAGGCAAAATTTCAAAGGGTTTCAGATTTTCTTTTTTTATTGTCTTTGATTATGATTAGGTGTACAAAAAGCATGCAAAAAATAGCTTTTTTATATATATATTGGTACATATTTACATGGTAACAATATCATTCCATAGGTATGTACCATGGTTCTGTTTGTATATGAATAACTTATGCAGGCAAGTGAGTACATTGAGGAAAATGCACAAGACAACACAAGACTATGAGACTGACATCCAGGAACATAAAGACAGTGGGCACCTTCATAAAACACATATCAGGATAGTTTCAAACAGCCTTCAGCAGTGATTTAATAGTCCCTGACTTCATATTATGTACAGACACACTCTCCCACAATCCTCCTGCTTTCGATATAATTATTACCTGAAATTAGTCCTGTCACTCACTTCCTGTGCATCAACTGTAACAAGCAACTGCACCCATTGATTTCTCTCAGTTTCACTGCTGTTACAACGTTAAGCTAGACAACATTTTGTGTGCACAAAGCTAAGGCTGCACAGTTCAGTAAATTTTTACATTTTGTTGAATTAAAGTTTCTGTACTCTGCAGTGGGACCCAGACCTGCAGCAAATAGTGAAAAGTAGTACATGCTGAGCTATGGAGAACACCTAAACTGTGCAAGCATTGGGGCTTTCTACAAGGATGAACTGTACAGAATCATATACAGACAGATGAGAAATTAAAAGAAAAACCTGGTCTGCCAGTCCAGAGGCATTGCCACCACGCAGTGTTGCAGAGGTGTGTCAGCCAAGACAGCCCCACAACTTCCAGAGACTTAAGGTACTCAGGGTGGATCTCATCCACCCCCCAGTCCTCTTTTTAAGAAGGGGGACCGGAGGGTGTGTTCCAACTACAGAGGGATCACACTCCTCAGCCTCCCCGGGAAAGTCTATGCCAGGGTACTGGGGAGGAGAATTTGACCTATAGTCAAACCTTGGATTCAGGAGGAACAATGCGGTTTTCGTCCTGGCCGTGGAACACTGGACCAGCTCCATACCCTTTTCAGGGTGGTGGAGGGTTCATGGGAGTTTGCCCAACAGGAGCTTGGTTCGCATTGCCGGTAGTAAGTCAGACTTGTTTCCAGTGCATGTTGGACTCTGGCAGGGCTGCCCTTTGTCACCAGTTTTGTTCATTATTTTTATGGACAGAATTTCTAGGTGCAGCCAGGGGCCGGAGGGAGTCCGGTTTGGAGACCACAGGATCTCGTCTCAGCTTTTTGCAGATGACGTTGTCCTGTTGGCCCCATCAAACCAGGACCTCCAGCGGGCACTGGGGCGGTTTGCAGCCGAGTGTGA